GTAATCATCTTTTATAATATTAAAGTTTGTTTTTGTCTAATTTTTGTGAGTTCTTGTAATCTTCTAAATCCTAGAAAGTCTTCTTTTTGTGATAAAAAATTTGGGCCCCTCTCCAAAATTTTTGATTGCATCAAATTTGGTATCAGAGCAAGTTAGGAAGCCCTAGGTTTATGAGTCGGTTTGTCAAGTAAATCTTGGTAAGTCATAGTAGTTATTGTGTGAGTCTTGAGAGTCTTGTTTTGTTGAGTCTTTTAAAAAAATGGAAAAAAACAAAAAGATTGATTCAGTCAAGGAAGAAAGCAAGCAAGAAGATTCTGAAGTTCAAAATCCAATGAACAGATGGATTCCAGATTCAACAAATCCCCTGCAATATGAGCTATACAAACTACAGTCATGGATGCATTTGTGTACGGAGCGGTATATGAAGAAGAAGCGACTCTTACAAGACCAGTTTATGCAAGAACGAGAAGAAATTCTAAAAAGGAATGAAGAAAAAATTCAAGAACTTGATGCACCTTCTTCACCTCCTCAGAAGAAAGCTAAAGGCGACTCATCGGGAGATGAGATTTTCAAGTAGGGGAGTCTGATGTAGGCAAGGGGGGTCAAATCAAACCTAAAAAATTGATATTGACTTCTCTAGCTCATTAATGTTTTGAGCAAAAATTTAGCTCATTATGAGCTAATTTTTAGTTCATTTATCGAAATAAAAGTTAGTTCATTATGAGCTATATTTTTAGTTCATTTATTAAACTAAATAGATAGCTCATTATTTGTGGTCTTGTCCCTTCTTCTCCCCTTTTCTTCTTAAAAATATGAGTTTGTCCCTTGGGTTCCTATGCCGACTGGCTGTTTTCCGTGCCTTGTCCCTTGGATTTCTGAGATTGGCTGTTGGTTTCCCGTACTGGGAAGACTTCCCGTGCCTTGGCCCCTTGGTTCCCACGGCTGCCTCCTCGGGTTCCGCCTGGGCTGTTTTCCCGTGGCTGTTGGGGGCTTTTCCGTGGCTTTGGTGCTTTGTTTCCTATGTAGAATTGGGAATATTATAAGGTGGTTGTTGGCTTTTCATTTCCCTCATTTAATTAGCTTTTAATTAATGTTTTGGGGCTGTTTGTATTCCTTCTCATGCCAATATATGTAAGTTGTTTTGGGATGTTAAAAAGAAGTTGATATGATCTGATTTTTGGAAGCTATAACCTGCGGGTTTGCTTGAAAAAGCTTGCGAGCTTTGTCCACCTTCTCTTCCTCTCCTCCTTGGGAAAGCTTGCGAGCTTGTCCTCCTCCTTCGTCTTGTGTCTCTCCGCAAGTACCCTTCCATCTGTATCCTTCTTCTAATGGAATGAAAAGCAAGTTTAGGAAAGTCGTATGAGTCGTTTTGTTTTTATTTCTAAAAGTTTGTAAGTCAGAAGTTGTCTTTCCATTATAATATAAAAGTTATATTTTGTCAAGTTTTTGTGTATTTTATGGTTTTTATATCTCCTAGGAAGGTTTTATTTTTTCTAGCAAAAATTTGGGTCCCTTCCCAAACTTTTGCTTACATCAATGACCTTATCAAACTTCTCCAACCCCTAGACATCATAACTATTTTTGATCGAATGATCTACAATTCAAAGTGTTATTAGCAAATGCATACTACAATGCTCTTTCTTTAATTTATGCAACTAGCGATTTGTTTTACTGCAAATTTGTATTAGTTGATAAAAGATTATCTTCAATCATCTTGCTCTACTACCATTAAAGCTTCTAGCCATGATTCTGATGCTCCAGCAAACTTATGCCTTCTTCGGATAATTTAAGATTTGACTTGTGAGCTCTCAGAAATAATTTGTGGTGAAAAGTGAGAAATAAACTGATTTATATTCTGTTGGCTTGAATTCAACTAACCCTCTTCTTGCAAGATTTGTGAGAAGGCTGGTCATAACACTAGGTGAGTGTGAACCTCCAATCAACACATACTTATTGCTCATGCTCTTCATTTATTTGGCCAATTTTGCTAGGCAGTTTGCCTTGATATTTAGAGATAGAGAGACTTAAGTTAAAATGATATTAGGGATCTTCTTCATAAGCTCGAGAACCCTCTAGTGATAATAAAATAACCTCGACTTCCTAATCTTGTAGATGCCTAATATTTGAGTTTTACCAAGCTGAAAACCACCAAAAATGTGAATTGTCTGCATTTTAATTGAAATAGCAATCATTTGTCCAGCCGCCAAGGCTTTAAATTCAGCTTCATCAATGGTTCTGAGCTTAATTAAGAAGAACAAGTACCTTATTATTCCTCCATCAGGTCATTAAGAAGATGCGGCCAATGTCAATTGGTGCCTTTAGGAGATTCAGAGGTTAAGCAGGTTTGATAAATGATGCTCAATCAAAGTATACCTCCCAAATTCACAACTTTTATTTTTGTGAATGAACAAAATTTGTTCATCGGATAATTTCTGTTAACAGGTGCAGCGAGTAAATCAATAAGGATCTATCCTTTTACCACTTTCTGAGGAAATAAGTGATCTTGAATTGTAAGTGTATTACTGCTCATCTGACTAAACGATCTATTGACGCAAGTGTCATAAAAAACTTTAGCAGATAGATCATTGAGATTAAAATGATTTTATGAGAAAACATGTAATGGCAGAATTTTTGTGAAAGCAAAAATCAATACAAACATTGCTTCTCAATTGAAAATATCATGTTTTGTTCCTAATAGTCTTCGATTGATATAATATAGAGCATTCTCCTTCCTTTCTTCATTATATTGTGTCAATAATATTCTGAGGGACTCATATAAAGCTATCACGTACAAAATGACATACTTCTTCAGGATTAATATTGTGAGAATGGGAGGCTCAGTATATATCTTTTGATACATCAAGACGTTCGTCATCCCATTTGAAACGAACATACTTTTTAATAAACTTCACAAATGGTTGACATCTCAACATATTTAATATATATCACTGAATGAATGCAAGCTATCCTAGCAAGAACTGGAGCTAGCGAAGACTTTTAGGCAGTGGGATTTCCATGATCACTTTAATTTTGATATATTTATGGCGTACAATGTACCAAGAAACTGTTTTGAGAAAATTCCAAAAGCACATTTGAGCTGATTCATCTTGAGGTCGAATTTTTTATTCCCTCAAATACAACTTTGTGATTAGCGTAAATCTTTGCTCTTGACAACAAGATCATCAATATAACACTCTACCTTATGATGGATAAAGTCATCAAAGATGTGCACCATAACCATTTAGTATATAAATCCAGTATCTTTAAGTTGAAGGTATAAATGTGTAGTAGAATATATCAATGGGCATCCAAAATGACATGTACTTTCCATACTTAAGATCCATATTGATCTAATTGTAGCCTCACCATTCGTCATGAAATAAAACATATCGAATATTGAAGTATCGTTAACTAACAATTCTGACACTATGAGCGAAAATTCATTTTTCAAAAACACCATATTAAGGTCACGAAAGTCAATACAGATCAACAGCTCTTTTTTTCACAGGGATAATATTAGCTATTTAATCAGCATACTTCTCTTCTAAGACAAAACTTAGCTCAACTAGCTTTTTTATTTTTTGCAATAACTTGCTCTTCAATCTCCAGTTTCATCCATCTTAGATCTTATTTAACAAGAATTGCATCAGGATTAATGTCTAGTCTATGAACTGCCACATCAAGAGACATGCCAGACATTTCATCATACATAAGCAAAACAATCACTGAATTCACAGAGTAACATTTTTATTTCTTCAACCTTATCTTCTAGCAGGAGCGTGTCGATGAAAATTGGGCAAGGATCTTACTCAGTTACAAAATTGATTCCTTTCAACTCGTCCATATTAGCAGCTTCTCCGTCATTTTTTTAGTTCTTTAGGCACAAGTTTGGCTTCTATGACTTGATCGTCTGAGAGACTAACTTTGTAAAGTTCTTCAGAATTTCTTTTGGATTCAACTCTACCTTTACTATTGCATTGCAAACTTTCTTTTCATGATATTTGGGATAGAAGAATCCAAGTCTTTTAGTTGTAGTGTTTTCATTTCTCTGGAAGCTTATTGACTTTTATGATATCATAATTTTTAAAAAATATTGAGTTTGATGTATAGTAGTCCTGATACGTACCCCTAGCTTGCGCAGCATCTTTCGAATTTTTAGAGGATAAAATTGAAGCATCCTTATATAAATTATCTCATGATTCAATTAGTTCAATAAGCCAATCAAAATTTTCTTCCAGATGCACTCCAGATTTGTAAATAGACTCCTTGGTTTCTATGTCCCATAAAGGATTTACATAAAATATTTTCAACTCTTCGATATAATAAACATCGTGGGGAGTGATCTCTTTGACATGTCGGGGAGAGATAGGTGTGACCATTAGGGTGGTTTCTATTGTTGATGTGTTAGTTATTTATCTCAGGGAGATATATTGCGTCTTATCAATGTAAGCATATTAAAATTCATAATTTGAATCTAAATAGGCTTTCATGATCTTCCCTTTAACTAGAGGATTATGCATCTTATTGGGTTTGATGGGAGTATCTTCTTCTTCGGGTACTGCAAAGGGTTGTATGCCAATAGAAACCATGAATTTTTCTCCAACTCTTGAGTACTTCATACACTAATACAAGTTTGTCAAAACAATACCATATTCATAAAGCAACGACCAACCTAGATGTGCTAAGGAGACCTAAGCATCAATCACAAAGAATAAAGCCTTAGTGTAAAGCTTCCCAAATCAAAGGAGAAGGAAGAATGATCCTACCGTTTTTTTTTTCCTATCTCATTAAAACCTTTCCATTACTTTATCTTGACCAAGATATTCGACATCAAGTGATAACAATCTTAATATCGACAAGTTCATGAAATTCACTAAGGAGCCAAGAAAATTGAGATCCTCTTTCATAGTTGGGGTTTCTAACTGAAATAGCCTTTCGAAAATTAAAATCTTGTTTCGGTGGACCTCTTAATAATACCACTTCAAGATAGATGTACTCACTACACCGATAGGTGTGCACTCATATGGAGGTTTCAACAAAATAAGGCCTCCTAAAAGCCCAAGGTAGTCATGCCGTGAACAAGAATGGCAGCAGCCCTGGTAATATATACAAGAATATGTAATATGCCATATTGGATGGTGGCTCCAAAGTCTTCAGTGTTGATGATGGAGTTGGCCAACTTAATGTTGGTGTCCCAACTATACTGCGAATGGCGCATGTTCTGGAAGTCCATTCTGTATAAGTGAAAGATGAGAATTAGTAATTAGAATTCAATATATCACCCCATGCTTTCAGAATGTTGAGACTTGATAGAATAAAATAAAATTAAGCAAAACTCCATATGATTTGAAGAATTTAGAATGCTCCTTAGGAGAGTTTAATGAGTTCTTTCTCATTTTATAAATGATATTTAGATTTTAACACATTATACTTTTTGTTGTTACTATAGCTTACATACAACTAGTGAAAGATGCGAAAGAAATATTTCCCAAACTGAATAGCCAAAAACCTATGGGCTCTAAAAATTTCGCGCCCCAAACTCTTTACAATTTAGAGAGAGTTTTAACGGATTAAGTTCTGGGTCAATTTTTTAAAAGGTAAATTAGGTTAGAGATAAGACACTGCCAAGAGATTTTGCCCTCATTATGCAATGACTTTATGATAAAGCACTTTCAATTAAGACTAATCATTAGGTAGGGACCAAGTACCTAACATATAGCAATAGCAGGGTTGATGTTTATGATTGAAAATTTACCACAATGCACTTAAAGAAAATGGTGGAGAAAATAATGACGAACCCGATCAAGTTTCTATGATTCCTTCATTCCAGATTGTCATGGTCTCTAGTCTACATAGTAAGAGAATATAATCGACCCAAACTAACTGAATGATCCATATTGGCAACCATAAGTTGCTTCGTTTAGGGAAACGCTATGGATATGGGTGAATGTTTATCTAAAGGAGCATTTCAAGTTAATCTTGGCTAACAGAGGTCATTATACCCTATCAATTACACCTTATGATTCATTATTTAAATATCTTAGCCTTTGAGAACATACAAGTTCTAGCTATGATCATAATAAAATGATCTCTATATATGATAAAACCATACGATTAGAGGGCTCCAGTCATAACCATTACCTATGGAGCTATTTCAGGCCAAACCATCGATTAGCAAATATGTGCCCCGTCCATGCTGGCATGAGATTATTTGATAATGAATATTCATTAAAATTCACATTTAAACATATATTTCCCTGCTAAGGTTATTCTTGAATTCAGTCCTCGTCAAACAGTTGCAGGATAGGGATGAATTTTACTTTAAATTTTAGGTGATAATTTTCCTTTAAACGTTTGAATTTTGACGAAGTTTGAGCTTAAAATTATGATAGATTTTGATAATATAACCCTTCAATTGAGATTTACTTTCAATACAATCATCATCAGGATGACATTAAAATCACTTTCAATATATTTATACTTTATTAAGATTTGGGGGCATTTAAATACGTAGAATTCCCTCTAATTGAGATTCACCTCCAACACGACCATCATCAGGGATTTGAATAATTTTATTTTATTATATGAACCTTGTTAACTCAGTATGGTTGCAAACAAAAGATTAGTTTGGATACTAGCTTTATGAATTATTACACGAGCATTGAATTTAGAGTTCACATTTTGGAAGAAGTTTTCTTTGAAGAGGGCTTTGAAAGCCTAATTTGAATGTAAAAAAAATAAAGTTTCTTCATAGATTTCGTAATCTTATATTCATTTATTAATTCAAATTTTGTCAACTTCAATCCTTTCAAGGAAGATTGAATTTAAAATTTAAGTTCACAGTTAACCCACATAGCAATCTAAGACCTAAAGTTTAGGAGTTTGATGTATCGATCGGAGCACATGCGGTTAATTAATTTAAAAGAGATTTCAAAACTCGCTTATAACCTCACACAACATTCTCAAACTTTTTTGTTTGCATATTTAGTATTTTCGCTAGAGTAAATGCGGGCAATTAAAATTTCTTTTTAAGTGGCATGCATGCTTTTAGGTGCAAATACAAGATGCACTTGTACACTTTTTAGTGTGCTCACACGACATACTTATATTCATTTCAATATATTTGTATAGCATGTTAGCACACTTTTTGCAATACCCAATCTAATGTGACCCACAAACTATACAAGTCTTATCGTGTTGGTTTGCAACAGGCAAACCTTAGGATCTAAATTATGAAAACTTTTCAAAAAATTTCTTCTAATTTAAATTTTAAAACCCAACAAATCATAGAACTACTAATAATATCCATCATACTCGAAATAAAACTATCCACAAAATTTTCTTTTCATTTCATATTAAAAATGTATATATAATAATTACAACAGACATGAATACAAAACAAAATGCGACTTAAATAATTTATGAATTTTATTTATTTAAAATATAAAAATTAAATTTAATATTTTCTCTCCACAACACCAAATTAATCGCATGCACTTAATAGCTCATTCATTGAATATTCTCAATTTCATTTCAGTTTGGCGGATTGCAACATTGGTTTCAAAACAATGCTCAATGTCATCTCAACATTGACGTCTGACGTTATTTCAACATCCACATTTCAAAATCATCTCAACATCACAGTCTGACGCTATCTTGACATTGATGCTCAACGATAGCAATTTGTACACCCACAACTTGATAGCTCATCTTTGATCAACGCCCTCCTAATATTGACGACCAATGCCATTCAATATTGATGGTAGATGCTCTCTCAACATCGATGCCTGACACTTACTATATAATATCAATGCCCAACTCTCGACAGCATTGTTGTTTCCTCAATTGATGACTGATACACAAAATTGACGCCCAACTCTTAGCATCCTAATATTAATCATTTCAAGGACAATTTCTAGTTAAATGACTTATTACTTCTAAATTATTTTTAATATTATACTTATTCAATTTTTATATACTATTTTAAAATATAAAATTATAACATTGTGTCGCGTCCTATGATTTCAATAATTGACGTGTCCCATGTCCATGTTGTGTCGCATCCAAATCGTCGTGTCTGTGTCATGTCCCATCCATAGTTATGCATATAGCAGCTGAACAAGCTCATATGCACCAGAGCATAACTTCCTCCACCCACACAAGATACCATCAGAATCGCACATTTCAATATTTTAAGTACATAATTCTTTGCATTGCAATAATTAAAACATAAGGAAACTAATTTTAAATTTTCAAAATTGCTACAAATTGCTATAATGATAAGCAGCAAAATATATAAATGTATAAAAATTTACTATATATGATATAACCAAATTATTAGAAATTGTGCAAAATACTATTTTAAGACATTGATAGTATTGTGGCATTATTTTCTATGTTCAAGATTATTTTTCAGACAATTAGAAAATACACTTTACAAAATCACCAATATAAAATTTTCCAAAAAATATCTAAATGCTCAGAAATGTTGTCCCTATAACATACACAAAGTTACATAATGAAAGTTTTGTGAATGTAAATTTTCCGTCCTTTTTTTATTAACAAAAATATAATTTTAATAAAAAAATTCAGGAAGTTTTCATATTTTTGAGAACTAAGAGGAAAAATATAACTTGCTTTGATCCTAGTAACTTTTAAAAATGAGCTGTCAATTGAAAATGGACTATTGTCGCTCAAAACAGATTTTCTCTCACTTCTCACTAGTTAGCTACCCCCTAATGAAATGCAAGGTTTAAAATTACGCAATTGGGTATTGAGACGTTTTTCGTTGTGAGGCGAGGCGTAAGCCTCAAAGCGTTTTGAGGCGTAAGCCTCAAAATCTAAAAATTACGTAAACTCAAAATAAAAGTTAAAAAGTGGTTTTTATGTAATATCCAAATAATATATTAAAGGATGACATATTAACATCTTATTGAACTATGAAGTAATAAATTTACATACATATGAAATAAAAAATTGTATAAGATGTAAAGTGTTAAGTGATCAATTATGTGAAATAGAATAGAAATCCAAATATTATAAGAACAGAACAACAAAAATATATGAATTGCATAAAAATATCATATAACATCAAGTTCAGCTCTAATTTTTTTCTTTCTCAATTATCTAATCATCTACGTTTAATTCTTAAAGAAAGTTGAAATAATTATCAACAACTTAGAAATCATCTGTACTATAATTACTAAGGGAATTTTTATTTGAGTCACTATCAAAACAAATTGGTCTCTTTCTCACCTCATCCTGTAGGATTCAATACCTCTTAATTTGCTTCTTCATTTATCTCAGTCATCTTCAACTTTCATAAATGTTTGTCATCAACATAAAGATAATAGGAGATGGATGTGGCATGCAGCTTTCTAGTGATCACCTGCGGCAACGATAATGATGGTGACTACAGTGAAGGTAATGGGTAGAGGTCGAGGCAACTGAGAGGAAGTTGTTGCGGCTTGGAGGTGCTAGACATGATTTTTTGGGGCATTTGTAGGATTTAGATAAGTTTTAAATAAAAAAAAATACATAAATAAAGTGAGGATACGCCTCATGGTAGCGATATAAGGCGCGCCTCAAGGCAGGCCTCATCCAAGATGAGGCGTAAGCCTCATAAAAACAAGGTCGAGGCGCAAGCCTCAAGGCACTTTTTCAGGAATTGCGCTGAGATAACCCTAAAGGCGAGCCTCATATTGCAAAATTTTAAAAAATGATGAAATGAAATGGGATGAAAAGTGAATTTAGATATTTTAAGTACTAAATTTTGCTCAAGCACGGAGCGCTCCCTTCAGGAACACATGATGTCGTCTCTTCTGCCACGCACCAAAGAGCATAACTAATTTTTCAAAACCCCAAGACCACTGGTGCCACGTTGCCATCAAACCCGGCATCGCATCACAGTCGAGCCCAACACCATGGCGCCCCACGAGGGAAAAATAAGATTTTTTAAAAAACCCATTCTGACAAGCTTTAGAACACAAGCAGACTCTCACATGCATATAGAGCATTCCCACACACATGCAAATAGGTTCAAATGCAAAAATTTAACAGATTTGTTGAATGTAGTAAGGTCAGAATGGGTTGACATATGCACTAACTTTATAGGTGTTATAATTTCAACATATTGGTGCATTTTTTAATGCACTCATGCAATATATTCACATGTATTTTAGTGCATTAACATAATGTATTCGCATGGCTTGAGCAT